GCTTGTAGCTTGAACAGCCATTCTTCATACTGGGAGTAGTCGCCAGTGAAGAAGGGGTTTGTATCGATGTAGTCTCTGAACGTCGTTGTCTTGTTCTGCTCCTGCTCCCGTTGTTGTGGCTCCTACTGCTTCTGCTGTTGGCCCGTTCTCTGCTCCTGTAGTTTGTTGTGCTGAAGCTGATGCTGATTCTCCTGACATGTCGTAGTAGTTTGGCATGCGATTGCTGTTGCAGTTGTTGTACGCTACCACGTTAAAATCGGAGTTACAGTGCTACAAGTGCAAGTGCTGTAATGTTGTCACTAACAATCAAACCTGTAGTGTCTGCAATGCACGTTTTCCAAGCGGGCTGTGTAGTCATGTGACTGAGCAGCTCAAGGCCTTCGGTAGTGGACACATGAAACACAAATGCGAGTAGTGAAGCATGTAGTTTGACATCTCTCTCTCTATCTCTATCTTTATCTTTATCTGTATCTTTCCGTTTTTTCTCTCTTTCTCTCTCTCTTTCTTTTTCTTTGTCTGTCTCTTTCTCTTTCTCTTTCACCTTCATTTTCCGTTTATCGCTATCCTTTTCTCTTTAGCTTTATTATTCTCTTTATCTACTTTTGTCCCTTTCTTTCTCTTCCTCTTGCTCTCTCTCTCTCTCTCTTTCTCGCTCTCTCTTTCAGTTTCTCTTTCTCTTTCTCATTATCTTTCTCTTTCTCTTTCTCATTCTCTTTCTCTTTCTCTTCCTCATTCTCTTTCTCTTTCTTTTTGTCATTTTCTTTCTCCCTCTTCCCGCTCCCAATCCCCTTTCTCTCTCGCTCTTTCTCTTTCTCTTTCTCTTTCTCTGTCAGGCCAGACTTGCGGGAGCGCACTTCGCACACAACTTTTCCAAGATTGAAACTTGCGACTCTCAGGCGGGGTCGACGATTCGCACGGCGCAACGGTCAGAGCGATCCGACACGAGTCTCTGCAGAGGAGCACGGCGCCACAGCGAGAGCGATTCGACACGCACAATCTCCGCAGAGGGTTCGTCGGCGAGCTTTAGATGAGACTCGCACGGCGCCACAGCGAGGGCGATTCGACACGCTCAATCTCAGCAGAGGGTTTGTGGGTGAGCTTTGCGACTCGCATGGCGCCACAGCGAGAGCGATTCGACATGCGCAATCTCCGCAGATGGTACGTTGACGAAGTTGCAAATTCGCACGGCGCCACAGCCAGAGCGGTCTGACACGCGCAACCCCTGCAGAGGGTTCATCCCCCCAGCGCCCGCCAGACCCACCCCCGGCTAAGAAAGCAGATATAATTAAAGGCTGCGAGCTTCGGCTGCGTGAACTAGTTGTTGGAACGTGTAGCGCTACAAGAGCTACAGGAACAGCGGTCAGACAAGTGAACTACACAAGACTCAAGAAGCAAGACTCGAGCTAGGTGAGCTAGGTGTCAATTTGAGCGGGTTGGTTGTGGGTGGTTTTTGAAAACCATGAAATATGACGCTGTCATCCCCACAAGTTACAAATATGCGGGGACGCGTGCGCATGTTAGGCAAAATGAAAGTCAAAGTAGGCAAGGCAGGGCCCGTTGAACTTGCTCCTTTGGAAAAGTGTGAAACAACTCAAGTGTTCCAAGCAAACTCTGACAGACCCCATGGCTCAAGATCCCTCTCCCTCTCCCCTCCCTCTCTCCCTCTCTCTCTCCCTCTCTCTCTCTCTCTCTCTCTCTCTCTCTCTCTTTTTATCTTCAGCTTTATCTTGATCTTTATCTTTCTTTTCTTCTCTCTTTCTCTCTCTCTCTCTTGTTCTTTCTCTGTCTCTTTCTCTTTCACCTTCACTTTCTGTTTATCGTCATCCTTCTTTTCTCTTCAGCTTGGTTTTTATCTTTCTCTTTCTTTTTCTCTTCCTCTTTATCTACTTTTGTCCCTTTCTTTCTCTTTCTCTTGCTCTCTCTCTCTCTCTTTGTCTCTCTCTCTCTTTCTCTTTCTCTTTCTCTTTCTCTTTCTCTTTCTCTTCCTCATTCTTTTTCTCTTTCTCTTGTTCTTTTTCTTTCCCCCTCTCTCTCTCTGTCTCTGTCTCTCTCCCTCTTCCTCTTCCTCTCCCTCTCCCTCTCCCTCTCCCTCTCCCCCTCCCCATTCTCTCTCTTCCTCTCTCTCTCTCTCTCTGTCCCTCTCTCTCTCTCTCTCTTTCTCTTTCTCTTTCTCTTTCTCTTTCTCTTTCTCTTTCTCTTTCTCTTTCTGTCTCTTTCTCCCTGCTTTTGCAGGCCGGAGCTGCGGGAGTGCGCTGCGCGTACTACTTTTCTACTTACAACGTGCAACTCTCAGGCCAGACTTGCGGGAGCGCACTTCGCATACTACTTTTCTAAACTTAAAACTTGCGACTCTCAGGCGGGGTCGACGATTCGCACGGCGCAACGGTCAGAGCGATCCGACACGAGCAGTCTCCGCAGAGGGTTCGTCGGCGACGTAGAAAATTCGCACGGCGCCGCAGCAGCGACAGCAATTCGACAAGCACAACCTGCGCAGAGGGTTCGTCGGCGAAGTTGCAAATTCGCACGGCGCCACAGCCAGAGCGGTCTGACACGAGTCTCCGCAGAGGGGCACGGCGCCACAACGAGAGCGATTCGACAGGCGCAATCTCCGCAGAGGGTTCGTGGGCGAGCTTTGAGATTCGCATGGCGCCGCAGCGAGAGCGACTCGACACGCGCGACTTGCGCAGAGGGCTCGTCGGCGAGCTTTGAGATGAGATTCGCACGGCGCCACAGAGAGAGAGAGAGAGAGAGAGAGAGAGAGAGAGAGCGATTTGACACGCACAATCTCCGCAGACGGTTCGTCGGCGAGCTTTGCGACTCGCATGGCGCCACAGGTGTCAATTTGAGCGGGTAGGTTGTGGGTGGTTTTTGAGAACCATGAAATATGACGCTGTCATCCCCACAAGTTACAAATATGCGGGGACGCGTGCGCATGTTAGGCAAACTGAAAGTCAAAGTAGACAGGCAGGGCAGCGCCCGTTGATCGCTTTGCGTGCTGTGCCCAAAACTTGCTGCTTTGGAAAAGTGTGAAACAACAAAATCGGTCAGACCCATGGCTCCAGTTCCTGAGCTGTGCCCGCATGGGGACTTGCAATTTTGTGTTTTGGCTGTTCTTGGGCAACTCGAGGTTGCTTGCGTTGCTTTTGACGAAGGAGCTCCTTTGCAAAGGGTTATGCGACGAACTGTGAAGTATAATTCAAACAACGTTTCATAGCAAAACAATTCAAGTGGGCAAATCTGTCTAAAGCTAATGCTCAAAAAGGAATTCCTGCAAGATAGGGTTTACATTAATGTTGGAGTAGAGGGTTAAATGGAATTTGACGCAGCAAGAAAGTGGTGCTGTAAAAAGAAGTAGCAAACCAATAGAACACGACAGAAAAGCGATGTCAGTTCTACGTATTGATTTAAGATAAACAGCTATAAACCGCTTGCTCATTGAAGCATTTTTAGCTACATTTTCCCACGGCGCCCCACGTTCGCCCACCGGCCGCAAGGGGGCGAAGGTTTTGTGAGAATTTTAGACCAAGGGGGGGGTGAAAGTGTGACAGGCGCGACGTGTTCTGCCCTCTCAAAACTGCCCCCTTCTACGCAGCCTAGCTTGCCGAAGATGCTCTGTGCTCGAGCTACGCCCCTGTTCCCGGCTTGGGTGTGGATGTAGATCTTCTTCGAGGGCCAAGACAGGGCTGATGTGGCAGCTCACTCACTGCGTTCCACGCTGGCACTAGTCACTTGGATTGGGGGTTGCTACTGATATTTTTAGGCTGGGAGTTTTTAGGTACCAACACGACTGACAGGTTAGGTTGGGGGTGGGGCGCGAGCAAACGTAGGGCGCTGAGCGTACATTTTGATTAACATCCTAGTTGGACAGCAGTTCCCATTTAAATCCCAACTTAAGCTAGAAACTCATCCCAACTTAAGCTAGAAACTCTACCCCATATCTCTTTCTTTACTAAATTCTATTTACACCTGAATTTCATTGCAGTGGTAAATGGGCAGGGTTACTTGTCGGACTCTAATTAAAAACGGGTGTCTAAATGAAACCAAACTTAAACTTCTACACGAAAAGCCTTGCGTTTAACATTGTACCCCAGTTGAACAGAACCTGTCTTTTATTTAAGTTTCAATTGGTGGGCGCAGAAGCAAAAACAAAACAATTTCAGGCGGAACTTAACTGTTGGCTGACGTGAAGTTTGATTTGTCCTCTGATTGTTTTGTTGTTTGTTCTCGCTTGTTCCGTTAAGAACACATTGTCAGTATATCATATTGTTGTTATCCATCGGTTTGAAAAGGTGCGAAACACCGCGAGAAGACTAACCAACAAGTCAGACCCTATGTATCCATGTTGGCCGACTTCGGGTCTGAAACGGTGCACTTGTTGGCAACTCGTCTTTGTTTTGTGTTCTCTGCGAATAGCCAGCCTAATGCACAGTTTCAAGGCTAAACAAATCAACTATGGGAGAAACCAAGCCCCCCCAGCCCTTCAAAGTAAATCAACCAGAGTCGAGTCCCTTCGTCTCAGCTCTTGAACAGCTTGGAAGACACGAAGAAGTAGAAAGTGAATGATGTTATTTCCATCTCTTGCGATTGCTCACCCATCCAATTATCTCCTTTCAAGCAATTATACCTCCAACTTAGGATTGGACAAGGGACATGACACAAATGAAATACTAAATCAAAGTAAGCATAAAACGAGAGATGAAACAAACGATGTGAGTACACACGTAGAACAAGTTAATGCATGTTTACCTATTCATCCGGTTCATAGATTCTACAGCTCAGGAATTAGGATTGTGTTCCACAGAAAACCATAACTTCCATATTTTGCCTTTGCTGGACAAATGCAGGCACTGTGATGCAAGTGGTGGATGTGAGCATTGTTGGCGGAACGCGAGCAGGGTGTATAGGGTCCCTTGATTTGATGTGTCTAAACTTACATTTGACATGATTGGACACCGCCGCTGGACTCGAGACTCAAGATTTGGACGTCTCGGCTGAGAAACCTCCGCTCAAGGCATCAGTCCGGGAACAAGAGCTCCTCCCCGAACCATTTCCTCGGGCCGAAATTGCGAGAAGCACGGGAGATCCATCTTAGCAGGGTGGCTACAAGGGTGCAGTACAATCACCAAACAATTCTTGCTTGCCCCCCACGCGAAGGCCAGGCAGCCTACTCCCGCATCCACAGATCATAGGGGTGCCAGCTGCATTGGTGTTTTCAGTGGGGAAAAGCAAAATCGCCTCAAGCAACTGGGGCAAGGCCTGGCTACTTGCAATGGGAAGCTTGTGTGCGAAAAGGCGAGGATCGCACCTTTCCATCAAGTGCCAAAGCGCGCTGCAGAAAATGAACGCTGTTCAAGGGTGCCACTTTGGACCGGTGGCGGAGCGTTTTGCACTTGCATGCGCCAAGCTGTCACCCCCCGTTCGCACCAATGGCACTGCTTGGCCGTCACAGTCTCCTGCAGCGCCCTGATGGACACGAGGGATCTCTTGTCCGTAGTGGAAGGCGCATCAGAAACGCTGCAGTCGTAGAGGCTCTTCGCGCCCGTGGCCTGCAAGAGGTTCATGCGTCAGCCCGCGCGATGGGCTGGAATGTTGTGAAGGGTCTGGCTGAGGCACATGTTCGCATAGCTGGCTCTGTCAGCGCCTTCATCAGCTGCCACTGCTTCAGCAGCCAAGGCGCCCTGGCTCACTTTGCCCTCCTTCTTGGAGATGTCTAAAACCGTCAAGGTGACCAAGACACCGGTCTGGGGGGTTGACCATTCAGCGTTGGCTGAACTGCTGTCTGTGCGGGTCAGCAACATTATGCCATCGTTGGACGTCTCCTTCAAAAAGTCCACGCATTCGTAGGGCCTTCAGGTTCAGAATTGTGGCTGTTGCAAGGACACTGCTGCGGCTATCTCCGGGCCAACACTTCTCAGTTCGGCCCTTTCACGCAGCTCAGGATCTTGCTGAAGGTGTCCGCGATGAATCCGTCCGGATTCCAAGGCCTCCAGGATCTTGCTCATGAAGATGCGGAGCTTGTAGCGTCCGTTCTTATCCTTGAAGAGCTGCAGCCTTGAAGTCGTGGTCCTTGCAGTCGTCGAGCGTGTCAAGTTGTCCCCAACAGAACAGGTTGTAGACCGGGTGTTGCAGTCGGCTCTGTAGGTGCCGGTCGACCTCGCGGCGGACGTAGTTCAGGCCGGTCAGTCTCTTGACCACTTCTTGGCACCAAAGATATGGGGCGTTGGGAAGTCCATAAATGTTGCTGCGCGCTTGGTACAGGCGAGCTTTCCCTGTCGAGGTAGGGCCCCTGGGAGGCAGCATGTAGAGCTGTGCTGGTTGTTCATGATCAGGTTGCTGGCCCTGCAAAAAGGCTGTACTAGGTTCCACTTCTTGCCTGAGTTGCCGGCTTCCGCGTGGAGTAGGCGGCTCACGGGTGATGTGGAAGATGTCGGGATCGCAGTGGCCAAGGGCAACTACTCGGGCTTTTGCCTTGATCTCTCCTTGGCCGCGGTTCTTGTCGCGGTAGGCCGCTCCAGAGCGAACGACTCGACGGCGAGCTTGCTTGTCGTTCAAAATCTTGTCGGCCTCTTCATTGATTGGGTTGACTGCCACTCTCGCCACGATGCCTCCTCCTTCTCCAAGGTCTGCAGGAGTTTGTCGATGGAGCTCGGGGGCATCTTCAGGATGTCCCGCCACGTAAGCCTTCTGTTCTAGACAGATCAGTCTGCTGCTCATGGTGTCTGACTTGTCCTCGGGCTTATTTGCCCCTTTCATCGCTTCGACTTTCGGCAAAGACCTGACGCTTAGGCCCGTATCCAACTGGCATGCTCCCGTCGAGGCCTTCGGCAACAATCTCATCCCCCTCCAAGCGCTGAATCACGTGAGCCGGCACGCGCTTGAAATGTTCAATTCCGGCTCTTAGGCTTGGGCCTCGGCATAGGTTTGGAAGTTGCCTGGTTCGTACAGCCCTGGAAAGTAGCCACCAGGGCGATGGCGCCGGTGCGCGGCCGGGATTGTTCTTGTTCTTGTTGGACCCGCAGGCTTTTGTTGATCCCACCTCAGTACCTGCTGGCACTCCGTGCGCCTGGCAAACTTTTCGCAACTTGACGTTCGCTGCCTTGATCATGTGGTAGACGATCTCCTTGCTTGACACAGATCACCTTGCGCCGCGCGTGAAGCCATGATGGCGCTGGAGATGTTCTCGGCAGCATCGAATTGGGGCGCCAGCACAATCATGCCAAGCTTCTTCCCTGAACCTGAAAGGCTTGGCTGCTCACGGTTCTCACACTGTTCAGGCTTGGGCATCAATCACTGCACCGAGTTGTCGGAGAAGATCATGACTTGCAAGCAGGGGCATGTTGGCTGGTATCACGGAGGTTCCAACAATGATGTCACACTTGTTCCCCGCATTGCGTCCGTCCCCAAACTGAAACATATCTGACGTCTTGGCGGTGATGGCCCTGAGCTTGTGGTCTGCAAGGTGCCGGTTCAACTGGTGGTGCCAATCCGAACCACAACACGTCCGCTGACAGGCTGTATCCAAAACAATGTCAGCATGTTGACGGTGAAGAGGTGATTCCCAAGTACACAGACCTGCTGGCCCACTTTGTGGACTTCAAGACGTTCCAATGAAGTATCCGGTCAACTTGTCCTTGGAGGGCACCGCGGTTGTATCCTGTCTTCGCCTCATAGTGTTCAATGAACCCGGGCTCACGGCGGGTCACAACGTTCACGGAGCGCGTGCCTTTTTGTCCCGACTTGCCCTTCGGCTTGCGGTAGGCGTTCTGCTCAAAGGCTCCGGCGCCTACTTATGGATGCGAATCCCGAAGCTGCAAAGGCGAGGATCGCACCTTTGCTGTCAAGCGCCAAGGCGCGCTACAGAAAATGAATGCTGCGCAAGGGTACCACTTTGGACCGACGGCAGCGCGTTTTGCACTTCTGGTCAAAGCGTGTGTGCGACTGTATGCGATCTAACGTTGGACATCACTCTTGATGTAATACTTTAGCCCGGGCTCCAGGTCGACTAGGGGGTGCTTTGAGGAAGCTTCATATGTCAGTGCAAAGAATACGGGTGGGTCTCGTCAAGCAAAGCGCCTGCTGATCAGCTGGTTCTGCGTAGAGAACATGATGGCCTCAGATCGCAGCCAACTGCGCAGCCCCGTGAACTGAAAGTCAAGCACAACACGTTAAGGTGCAGCAAACAAGCAAACAAGCAACCAAGCACAAGTAACCAACCAAGCAGCCAACCAACCAACTGACCAATTAACAAGCAGGCGCTGCGTAACACGGATATATCGTGACATATTTTTGCCCTACCCTCCCGGTGAAAGGTGGAAGTCCTTCTTCCAATCAAGTACGGAACCACGACCTTGCCATGGCCAAACCACCCAAGCGAACTAAATAGGCCAGCTCAGATCCTAAGCGGATCTGTCAGCAATATGCCATGTTTATTGGCTGCAATGAAAGTTGTCTTCTTGAAAAATCACAAAGCTTGGGAAAAGGGGGTATAAAGCAAGGCAGTTCTAGGCGTTGCCAAACCTCTCTGACAGCTGTGGAACCCTCACAATGGGCTTCGGTTTTCCTTTGGCTCCAACTAAATTTCCATTTGAGGATGGCTGGATCCTTCTTAGATGACTCAAGCGCCAGAAAGGACACCGCGCCGATTTC